ACACCGTGAGATGTTTGAATACGAGGGCCTTCGAAAAGCCGAGCGCAACTGCGTTGAACAGCGACTCCTCGTCAGAATCAAGGCCAAGTGGAACGTGGGTCTCCAGTCAATGGGTGGCCCACTTCCCGAGCGCTAGCAAGTTAAGCAGACCCCGCTCAATTATGCGAGCGTCAACCTCCCGAGATACGAGCCGCGACAAATTCGCGATGCCCCTCATTGCTGCCTCTGGGCTGGGAGCATCGACTATCTTGCAGCGGTGCTTCGGGACTTCGCACGTGCATCTTCTGAATGTCACTGAGTGGCTCCGGCGGCCCAACGACGGCGCCAAGTTGATCGTGCCCGCGACGGCGCGGGGGAACTTCCACGCTGCCACTGCCCGCGCGATCTGCAACAGATGCTGTTCACAGTTGGAAAAAGAAAGACTTCCAACCGCCAGTGAGCCCCTGCGCCCTCCGATTGACGCGGCGCTCCACGCGCAGATTGCCCGGGCGTCGATCCGCGGTGGCGACGCGGCTAGACTCGTCGAACTCGCACTCGGTGAGATACGCGGCGCACGCACCTCCCAGGGCAGCCACGACGCAGCCTGGGGCGTTCCGCCGTGGGGGGCTGGATCTGGGCCAGTGTCCGACCAATGACAGCGGTGCAAGATTGCGCGGCGCCTGGGGGGCCACGCGCGAACAACGCGCTGAATCCCTGCCGCGTCTGGAACAGCTCGGCGGGAATCGAGCGCTTGTCTGTGGGCAACATATCCAATGCACGTTTCGGCAGAGGCTTGCCATTCGGATTGTCGCCTTTGGCGGCTTTCGCCTAGATGCCCCCTATTATTCGCGGAGTTTCGTCGCGCCCAGCGCTGTCGACGCATTGCAGAGCTCTGATTGATCCGTCGGCAACGACTTCCCGCCCGCAAACGCGGCGGCGAAACCGATCCCAATGTCAAGCCGCAGCGCACGACCTCCGGGTAATACGCCCAAGCCACTTTATGCCAAATTCCGATGGAAACAGAGACGCCTTGCGCCTCCCAGATGCGAAGTTGAGATCAACGTCCCGCTATGAGTCCGACGCCGTGAGCATATCTGAATCAATGCCACATCCCCAATCGCCCTGCTGGCTGCAAAGCGCCAGGGCGCCCCCGAGGTGGCCGATGAGCGGCGGGGCCAGCAGGGGCGAGCTCCCCAGGAGGCTCGGCACCTTCGCCTGTTCGAAGACCGCTATCCTCTGCTGCGCCAACTCCCTGCGCTGGCGCATGTTAACCAGCGCGACCGCTCTGGCAGCGCCGAGGTCGCCGCCGCGCCTGTCGCCCGACCTGGGCGCGGGATCCACGCGCGCGGGGCGACGAGGCCGCGGAGCCACAACGAGCCTACACGGCGAGGACCCCTAACCAGAATGCAACTGGACCCCCCCCACCCCCTTGGACGAACTGTTCTCCCGCCGAATGAATTCTCCTCTCTTCCACCACCCACCGTTCCCATTCGGGGGTGGTTTCGCCGCCGCCCGAAACCCCCGCCCCCAGGTTCTGGGCGGGGCCCGCCACGGGAATTGGAACCCCCAAGATGCCCCAAAATGCCCCCGCGAGCATCCTCGCCAAGGAGCCGCGAGATGACTTCCAAGATTGCTCAGTACTCAGGGCAACCAAAGGCGGGTCAAGACACCTTCCGAAATAATCCCGGGAAAGGCCGACAGGGCAGGGTGCAAGACGGCCCCAAGAGCCTCTTCCAGACAGCTCATGATGGGCGTCGTTCCTGGGCGGGCTGCAACGCGAAGCGCGTCGGATGCATCGGGCAAGCCTGGGGGGGTCCAATCCAGGAGCGCGGTAAAGAAGGTGGGCGCGCAATCCAGCCCGATTCAAGCACGCTGGAAAGACTCTTGGCAATAGCTTCAACATGTGGGGGGCACGGAGTGGATGGGCACCCAACGCAATGCAATCCCACCCAACGAACTCATATCACGAACAGGATGCAAAGATGTAGTACCCCGGGCCAACACATCCGCAACGGACATCCCAGAACAATGGATTGGCCACGGACGGGCCCACATGGCAGGATGGGCTTGTTAATGGCGCGGCCGATCGCTTAGAAAGGCCCCTCGGGCTCGCTGTCTGAGTCTGCGCTCTTCTGGCGCTCACACGCAAGGATGGCTTGGCTGTTGCTCGACTGCTTTGTTTCAGCCCTGGCCAAAACTCGTGCTACCTTATCTGGGCCGCATCGCTGATGATCCTCTGCTGGGAGCTTCGGCCCAGCCTGCAAGCGCGCAGCGAACTCACCGATGCAACGGCCCTGACCTGGTTGAATCATGAGTCGGTTACCGGCTGGTGCTACCACTGCCCCCGGGCGGCGGCACAAGGACCCATGAAAATAGCACACTGCCTCAAAGATAGTAAGCGATCTTGCCTGGCGTATTTGCAGGCCCAGCGTCCACGTTGAATGCGACAATCTGCGTCGGTGCTGGTGCCGTTGATGCGGCCGTTGGCGCCGCTGGTGCGGCCGCTGCTGCCGCCGAACAGGTCGGTGCTGTGGTTGGTGGCGCCGCCGAAGAGGCCGGTGCTGTGGTTGATGGCGCCGCCGAAGAGGTCGGTGCTGTTCGCGCCGCCGAAGAGGTCGGTGCCGTGGTTGATGGCGCCGCCGAAGAGGTCAGTGCTGTGGGTGACGGCGCCGCCGAAGAGGATTGCCCTGGCGGGCTGTCGTCATTGCTGCTCATGTTGCTGTCGTCGCTGCTGCTGCTGTAGTCGTTGCTGCTCTGGCGGGCTGTCTGGGCTGTTGGCGGTTGCTGGCTGGTCGCTGGCTCTTCGCTGCTGCTGTATAAAGATACCCAACCGCCGCTGTTTGTCCAATGTCATGTCCGTTTCCCGCTGTCCCGTTGAGTTTACCGTAGTGGCCGAACAGCGCGATCTCATCGCGAAGATCGCCCAAATCACGATCGGCGTCGGCGTGCCGCTTCATCATAAATATGTTCAGTAACGGAATCGCCTGTTATATGGGCGTCAGGAAGGGCCGTCGGTAAACACCCGTTGGGAAGGACCGTCGGGAAGGGTTCGAGCCAAACCAGCAAATGACGGAAAAGGCCGTCGGAACAGGCCGTCGGGGAGGGTGGCGGGGGACTGTCCTACCCCCTGGCGGCTCCCCCCCTGGTGATGCTGGAATCGGCGCATCGCTCGAGACATCCTCACAATAGGGTATGTGTTACGCAATGTGGTTACGCAATGTGGTTACACAATCTGGGCGCGGTCATAGGGTATGTGGTTACGCAATGCCCTGTTCTGGTACTGTGTTGTCGTATGCCATGGTATGTTACAACATCCTACAAGGTTAGGACACGCTATGCCATGATTTTGATTAGGTGATGGTGCTATGATGTTTTATGGTAGGCCGTGCTATGCTGTGTATCGCTGTCATGAGTAGATGCGGCCCTGGGCAATCGATGAGAAACTTTAGTTTTACATGAAGAGTTTTTGATAATTCCCTGAATATTATATGTTCTAATCTTGGAGCATAAATCTGCAAAAATCATGCTGGGAATATTGTTCAATGTTCTTGGTTTTGCGGAGTGTGGCGATTGCGTCCTCTGTAGCCTGAGTCAGTACAGTGGCAAACAAGCTCCGTCGGAGACACTTTCACGACGCGAGGTGTCAGGGCTTCTTCACCCCCCGTTTGCATGGTGAAGGGTCCCTGAGTCAGAACAATCGCAAACGAGCTCCGTCGGCGACTCTTTCACGACGCGAGATCCCAAGGCTTCCTGACCCCCCGTTTGTCTCCCCACCTTGCCACCCGCCCGAGCCGGGGACGCGCCGACCCGAGACAGCGCAGGCCCTGTTCGGCCAGAGACATGTCAGCAACCCTAGCTGGCCATGATTGAAGGCCTGGAAATAGGCACCAACACCAACATGGGGGTATGCCTCCACAGGGATAAGCTGTTCCTAGATTTCGGTGTTGGTGGTAACATTTCGGTCTCCTTGGAGGTCAGAATATTACCACCATCATCGAGATCGGGATCTTCTTCCCGCGGTGGAGGCACACCGCCGATAGTGGTGTTCATGTCAACCTCTGGGCCTGCACCATGAAGTTACTTTCAAGTCTGGAGCACCTGGAGCTCGAAGCCAAGGGAGGTCGGCTCCAGGTGGCTTCAAAAGTGGGTCAGCCAGAGCATCTCGTAAGGGAGTGGCTGACCCCCGGTTGGCGCTGACCCCCAGCTTTCGGGTCACGACTCGGATCTCTGGCGGCTGTTCGGTGCGAGCTTGGCCCCCCCGCGGCTGCTGGAACGCATCCCGAAGCTGGAAAACCTCAGATAGTCGACGCAAGCCTCAGAACGTCGGATTATCTCGGGTTTACGTTGGACGTACGTCAAAACATCACCGCGCGAACATCATCCCATATACAACTATTGCGCGCCGCGCGATGCCTCTCGGACTTTCCAACTAGCCCGTCCCTGCATGGCGAACTTCCCCCCCCAAGCGCGCCGCAGACAAAAGATCTGGCGTCCCCCTCCACCGGTCTCCCCATGCGCTCCACTCTGCCCAGCGCCAGTGGCCGCGGCCTCCCGAATGGGGTCGAACAGGTGGGGTCGGAGGATCGCGCCGCATCGCGAATGCATCGGCGACTTCGGCGATGCGTCGGCGTGGAGAGCATCGGGCCCCACATCGAGAGGTATCGCCGATGCACCAACGATGCTTGAACAGGGACCGACCGTCTGGGCATTCCTATAGGCCTACCTCGGAATGGTCTTAGAACCGGATAACGTCCTTATAACAAAATCAATGTGTCTAGAACATGCAGCCGATGTATTAGAACATGACAGCCTCTGCCAGTAGTGCTTGAACACCATCTCGTGCAAACCACAAAAAGGTTCTCATAACATTTCCTGCTGGGTCGCTAGGCAGGCCAGGACGCTTCGCCACTGCTCGGGATGCGGCGATCCTCCGACCCAGTAGGCTCGAAACTCATCGGGGAGGCCTAGAGGCGCCTCGCCGCCGAGAGAGGACCTGGCGCCACCCCACCTCCCCCGCTGGCCTCTCCATGCGCTCCACCCTGCCCAGCGCCAGCGGCCGCGGCGAGGAGGCCTACCGCCGCGGGGAGCAGGCTTTTGTTCCGCGCGTGCAAGGGGGCGGGGGGGGGGGAGCAGGGCGAGAGGAAGAAACTAGAAACCACGGCGGTTAGAACACGAAATCGCTACCGGGCGACATTCTTGCTGTCGCAGGCGGCCTCGCCTCCATGGGGGCCGCCAGCCCGCGGAGAACACGAAACCGCCCCCTCGCAAAAGGAAGCGCAGAAAGGAAGACGGGGTGGGGAATGAGACGGGAAGGTGCGGGGGGGGGGGAGGGGCAGGCAAAGGGAAGCGAAGAAGGGGGCACCCTGCACGTCCAGGGAACGCAGCCCGCCGGGGGGGGGAGACAGGTCCTCGGAGAAGGCCGCTGGCGACTTCGGGGGGGCGGCGGGCTTCCAAAGGATTGCCCATTTTGGCGCGGGCCATGGCTCCGAGAATCCACCGCCCTCATTCTGGGCGCGGGTGGTCCAAGGTTGGAAGTCCAATCTTCAGTCCCTCTGGCTTGCGGGCCGCGGCGGCCCGCAACCCAGGCCGAGGGGAACACAAATAGGCGACAGCCGCTCACGCCCGCCTTCGCGCTGCCAGGGCGCTGGTGCCCGGTCCCCTGCGGGCTGCTGGCGCTGAAAAACAACCTCGCCAGCCGACGGGCCGTGCGCCGCGGGCAAAAACTGTTGGGCAACGCGCCGCAGGTTGGCCATCGTCGTCGTCGTCGTCGTCGTCGTCGTCGTCGTCGGAAAAGGGTGCGTCGAAAAGCCTGTCCCTGCGGACAGGCCACAAACGGTCCGGAAAGGCCGATCCAGGAATAGGCAGACAGAGGCAAACACCCCGTCGCCCGCGACTCGCAGCCCAATCGAAATCGTTTGTGTCCTAAGGTGCCGTGCGCAACCTCCGACCAACACCCCGCAAAATCGACTGGCGTGCGCAATCCGGTTGGCTTCCCAGGGTGAGCGGACACGCGGCCCCATGGGACGGACTCACGTGCTACAGCGCCCCGCTTCTCAACTGAATGCGCAATCCCCGCGCCCGATGTGCAGCGCGAGGCAAGGCACGGCTGAGCGCCGAAAACAAAAGGAAAGGTGCCGCGCTGCTGGTTCGACAGGGGCGAACTTGCGAGGAGGGCCGCGCAGCGAACGGATGCGGGCACCGAGGTGGGAGGGGAGCCGCCGCGGGCGCATCGCAAAGCAAGCAGGCACGCTGGGGGCGGGCGGGGGCCGGGCGCGGGCTGTCATCGGCATCTCTAGGCAGCTCATTTCCGTCACGTGAAGTGAAAAAGCGAAGTTCCCAAGACGCCGCGGGTTGGTCAAGTACCATGTTGGGTAGCATGTGGGAATGGTGCAACGCCAAGCGTGAGTCTGTCGCGTTGTAATCTGCCTTCGGCGTCCCCCAAAACCCACCCTGCCACCCGCGCTCGGCGCCACCATCCTCACACAAGTCTCATATGTTAACGCCCTCTCTCTGTCCCAGACATCCATTTCCACAGGCCGCGCCCACCTGGCCGCTGCAACGAAGCATTGCCCAAGCGACGCCACGGCAGGATCCCGACGGAGCGGCGGAAGCCGAGTGAATACAAAGAAGAGCAAGGAGACCAGGAGCGCCAGACAGAGAATGATGACGACGACGGCGACATCGAACTAAACAGACACCCCTCTCCCCTGGATTCGGCGGGGGCACAGCCGCGGCAACTGTGACGACGACGGCAGAGGCGAGAAGCACGCATTGCATTGTTCCAATGTCAACTTGATCTCAGGCACGCCCCTCGCGCCAGAACGGTCGACCGCCCCGCGGCCTCGCTTGGCAACTCGCCGTTGCCCTAAAGAGAACATCAAAAGCTAAAGTGATTCGATCGACGGCTAACCTTGCAGGAAACAGGGTTCAGGGCGTTCTGAAATCACCGAGGTTTCGAAACCGCTGGAAAGAATAAGACGTCGATATCCTCGCACACTGGCGCGTGGCCCTGCAACAGAAGGGCGGGCTCGAACGCCGAGGCGCACAGGCGCGCGCGTCGCTCTAGAGGATGGCAATCCCCTGGGCGCGAGGCATGGGCAAGCTATGCGACACCAAGCCCATAGAGACTCTGGGCCCGATGTCACTCGAGGCGGCTAGCCAGCCAAAACTGCAGCGCAAACGCTGCCCAAATCAAGTCGGAAGCCCAGGTTCACGCCGACGCCTCGTAGTTGAACAGGTCTCTGATCGGGCACTCGGCGAGCGACATCTGGTTCTCGAAAACGTAGTGGCCCCGCAAGTCCTGAAGCACGAGGTAGGAGGGCATTGCGCTCCCCATACTTCGTCCAGCTCCTGCTCTTGCGGGGGAAGGGCGGGCAATGGCCCTGCCAGTTGCCGTTCTTGACGTCGCGCGACAAGAACCCACCAGGCGGCGCCATGGCGCGAGCCTCGAGCAGGTCGACGCTGTGCTCGGGGAACTTCGGCGTCCTGTTGGGGTAGCCGTTCCCAGCGGCATTCACGATGGGCGGGGGCTTGTCCTTACCTTTGCCCTTGCCCTTGCCTTTCGGGGCAGCGGCCTTGATGCCCTTGACCTTCTGCGCGTACTGGTCCACAAAGGCCTTCTGCTCCTCTTGGATGTCCTTGATATTCTTCTTCTCGCTCTCGGTAGCCTTGGCGCCCTGCTTGTCCAGCACGTCCAATGCCTCGTCGCGCTCGCCCAACTCCCCCTCCCACATCAGCTCGCGCCTGTAGCTGCCGACGCGCTGCGAAACGATCCCGAGTACTTCGGCCGAGGTCTCACGCGGGAACGCGCGCCCCACGACCTCGAACAGCGTGTCGAACAAGGCCCCCGAGTTCGAGATGGCGTAGCCCTTGGCCGCAGCAATCTTCCGAATCGAAGTCGCGTCGAGGCGCCGGAAAGCGGCCTCGGCAGCGATGACGAGGGTGCCCCGCTTGCCACCCCCATCAGCCGAGGAAGCGCGCACAGCTGGGACCAGGGAGGCACGGGCGGAGCCGTGCTGATGGCATTGCCACTCGAAGCGCCGAAACGCGATCGGCACAACCTTGACTTCGTGGCACTGGGCCATGGCCATCATCTCTGGCTTGGCCTCGGCAGGGGACGCCCAATAGAATGCCTCGGCGTTCGGCAGTTTCGCGCAGCAGGCTGGCCACGCGAGGCGCCCCGAGTCGGGGAAGTGGCGACCAGGGAAGTACCACGCGCCACCTTCCCCCTCGAAGACAAACTTATGTGAGGAATTGGTGAAGACCCCCTGCCACGCCGTATCGAAGAAAGAGACGTTTGCTAACTGCTTGGTCTTCTGGCTCACGGACAAGGTCGGCATACTTGACGCCAAGGTTCGAGGCCGATGGAGAATAGAAAGGGGCCTTTTGGCTGGTGCTCACAATGCGCCCGAACGGGAGCGAACCCGACGATGGGTCTGGCTGAAACGCGGTGTTAGGCAGCCTCGTGGTCAGGGGATCGTCACGCCTCACAACGTCGACCATGCCGAACTTGTTATCACCTTTCTCGCCTTGCTTGGCCATAAGAACGCCCATGCACTAGGCTGGAGTCCTGTACTTCTTCTTTCCCTTGACCAACTTGCTATTCTTGATGGCGTTGAACTGATGCTCCGACGGGAGGCTCGAGAGGGTACCTGAAAGGTTCTCCTGTACGAGCGCCCTGGGATCCTCTTTCTTGGAGTCCCAGCCCACCTCCAAGCATGCCTGAGGGAAAACGGCAAAGCATACCAAGGCCCCAAGGAAAACCGAAACGCATCGATGTTCGTGTTGGGCGTTTCCTGACTCTGTAAATCGCTCGCCCCCCCACCCCCAAACTGACGCTCTGCAGGTCGCGCTTCAAGCGCGGCGGCGGCCCTCGACGGGGGGTCGCGACGCGACCCTGTCGGCTCCAGGGCCCCAGCAATCACGCGGGCCCCAGGGGGGCGCAGGGGAGGGTAGGGGAGCGTAGGGGAGGGGTGCGTAGGGGAGCGCAGGGGTGGGTAGGAGAGCGTAGGGTAGGGGAGCGTAGGCCAGAATTCGCCCGATCATCTGCGCAATGATGTCGAGGGGGGGGGGGGGGGGGGGGGGGGGGCGAAGGAGGGCGGCGGGTGAGGGGGCGCAGGGTGGCTTCCCAGGACCCGAAAACACGTAAACATAAGTTCCGGCGAATTCTGAGAATTCGCCTGATCATCTTTTCAATGATTTCGAGGCGCGGGGTGACGCGCCCCCCCCTTCCGCGCGCTCGCCCTTGGGGATTGAGCCAGCGGATTCCAGAGCATGCTTCGCTTACCAGTTTCGATGTAGAGCGGGGTACCCTTCTCCCCATCCTTCCCCCCCCCCTCTCTGCATCCTGCGTCGTCCTGCCAAGTGCCTCGACCAGCTGGATGACTGGAGTCTCCAAGAAGGCCGACCTGTCTAACGCCTGCTTGAACCTCTTCGTCTTGAGGTCGTCGGACATGTTCCTGCGCGGCAAATGCGCCTCGTAGTCCCGCTTGAACGCCGCCATGGCCTCAAGTCGGCACGCGTCCGAACCCAGAATGCCTGCCATGCGCACTGGCCAGCCGACAGTGCGCCAAAGGCCCCTCGCCGCCCTGCAAGTCGCCGACGTCCAACACATATGGCAAGTAGCTCTGCCAGGTGGTTATCCTGCTCCACGTCGCTCGCCAGTATGCCATCAGGATTGTCTGAGAAGATCGCCAGGCCAACGTTCTGCATGACGCTGACTTTGCGCATCTGGCCAACCACGTCCGAGCAGCGCTTGAAGTAAAGGCCGTCAACCATGCCAACCAGGAACTTCAAGCCACCATCGCTGGTCCTGCGCTCGGCGCTGGCCTTGCCCTGGAAGGCGTCGCAGGGCCCGGTGGCAGCGATTATCTGCTTACACAGCGTTTTGTGGTCGGGCTCCTCCAGCATGCGCGAGGTGATGCAGATGGCGTTCACGAGGCGCGATCTCATGGGCTTGCCCAGGGCTGTCAGTCTGTTCGGGTCTGTGGAATCCCTCAGCTGGACGTAGTCCAGGTCGGCCCTGCCCTCCCCGAACTGGAGCTTCGTCATCTTGACGCTGGAAAGCATGCCCGACTCGATGCCGCAATGCTCGACCCTGGCAGACTTGAAGGGCCAGCTGCCGTTCAGCAGCGCCTTGATTGCCCTCTGTGAAGACTGAAACCTGCACATGTTGGCCTTCTGGTCCATCAAGCGCCCCATTCGTTCCATGCCCCACACGCGCCACATGCACTTCGCATGATCACCCTCGTCCTCGTCGGTTAGCAGCTCTGTGATGTCACCGTGCTCCTCGATCATCCCACTGACCCTGTCAAGGAAGACAGCGCATGTGTTTGATGTAAACTGGGTCTGCATCTCATTCCATGCCTCCTTGAGCTGGTCGTACCTCGCCCCCTCGTCTTTGGGGCCGTGCTCAACGTTGACGGCGACGAGCATCAACTTCCAGAAGGTGCTCATCTTGAAGGTCCTCAGCAATTCCTCGAAGTCGCACTTCACGCCGTGCGACCAGTCCCACACGCGGGCCGAGTTCGTTCCAATGTGCAGCGACCAGTTGGAGCTGCACACGTTGTCAGGCCCCTGGCCCATGGCGCCGAACATGCGGGGCCAAGTGCGCCAATTGCCCCAGGCGGTCGGCCCCGTCTCGCATCGGACGAAGTCCACCCAGCCACACAACCCTAATGAATGGTTGATCTGGTTGTCGACGTTGAGGAGGCAGTGTTTGCTGGACACGCGGTGGCGCTTCAAGGGGCGCCACGAGGTGAAGTCGATGCTTCCCCTGCGCCTCTGCGACCATAGGCGATGCCGCCTGGCCACGCTCAATTTGGCTGCCTCCAACGCCTGAGGCGTGTTGTCCAGCTCGTCCTTGACCATCTGGATGTCCCCGTCGCGCGCCCTGTTCACCTAGGACGTATCAAACAAAAAAACTCGCATCACCCATTGGGCGTGACGTCTGGTCGCGTTTCACATCGCGCGACGTCTGTTGCGAGCTGTGTCTCGGGCAACGGCGTCACGTGATGCATAGTTTGTGCGACGCGTCGCACTGACGCAACCAGCAGTCGACCACTGACAACGCGGCGGCGGCGGTGAGAGGATGAGGGGGGCGAGAAGGAGCGGAGGGGAGCTCCCTTCCCATCCCCCCCGCCTCCCTCAGACTCCCCGCGACCCCCTTGCCCCCTCACCCCTCCCCCTCCTCGACCCCGACCCCCCCCCCTCACTCCCCCCTCAGCCCAATCCATCCTCTCGACGGGGGTGATGGGGCAACGGGCTTCGCTTGATTCGGACCTGCGGCAGCGCTATGATGCCCACCCCCGTCGAGGGCACCGCGAAGAGCGTGCCCGAGACCCCGGGCCCAAGGCCCGCGGCGCTAGCCTTGTCCGTGCAGAAGATGAAGGCCCTCCTACACTCAGCGCGCATCCCCCCCGCGCTGACGTAGTCCACGATCTCCTCGTCAAGCTTCGCGGAGCAGATCACGGCGGCCTCGGCGCCCAAGAACTCGCACGCGAAGTTGGTCTTCGCGAGCTTCTTGGGGAAGTGAAGGCGCCGACGCAACTGATGCCACAGACCACTGCCGATTTTCCAAAGGAGTTGTTTGTGCAGAGGCCGCAAGCCCCCAGATTCGAAGATGAAGCCCATGATCGAGTCGAGGGTCGGCGGCTTCACCAAAGACCAGGCCGCGAGCTGCCTCATCTCGGCGCCTGCCCACCAGCGTGGGTGAACTCCGTCTCCTGGCCCTTGCTGCGACTCGGCAGTCTGGGAAAACTCCGCAACCTGCATCTCGTTGTTAACGACTTTGAGAGCCACGCTGGGGCCACGGGGGCACTGAGGCCTCGGCCAAGAAAAAATCCCAAGTTGGATGGATGTCGATCTCAATATCGTGGGTCTCGACTTCGAAGGCACTGTTGATGAAGGGCGCTCGGAGTAGAGCCGCAGCCCCCCTGTTGGGCCCAGACACAAAACCACCAAGGCGAGGGGCCCTCGGAGACCAGGTCGAGCAGAGATGGATGAGCCCAAAAGGCGTCGATGCTGGCCAGGGCAACATCTTCGGGCCCAGGTCGTGTGAAACCTCGGGCGGACAGAGAGAGACAAATGCGGGGCGCCGACGAGGGGGGGGGGGGGGGGGGGGGCACTTCGAGCCCCTGGATTTCAACGCCTCTGAGGCGGAGGGGGAAGGGCGCGCCAAACGATCTACCCAGCACGAGCGCCGCTCCCAGGGGCCAGTTTGGCCCCGCGGTCGCACCCCCCCCCCCTCAAAAAAAAGAAGCCATTCTGACCGCCCCCCTGCGAGAGACGCTCGACAAGGAACGAAACTAGTCAAAAACGCTCGTTCTGATATGCGAAGCTCTTTGGTCAACCCCCAAGGGCGAGCGGACGGAAGGGGTGGCCGCGCCCCCCCGCGCCCCCAAAATCACTGAAAGATGATCAGGCGAATTCTATCCTACGCTCCCCTACCCTACGCCCCCCTACCCGCCCCTACGCTCCCCTACGCCCCCCTTCCACTAACGCTCCCCTGCGCTCCCCTACGCTCCCCGACCCCCCCCCATTACGCCCCCCCTTGCGCGCCCCCCCCCCCGCCCTGCTGCTGCGCATCCCTACCCTCCCCTGCCCTCCCCGACGCTCCCCCCCTCCTATGTAGGGCCCCCTGCGCCCCCTGCCCTGCCGCAGGACCCTCCTCTGTCTTCCCCTTCTGGGTTGGAAGGCTGGGCCGACGGCGGCCCTTGAACTTCCCCGAGACGAGGGCGTGCGACGCCAGCCGCAACGCGTGGAGCTCCAAGCGCCACTTCGGAATGCCAGAGTTGGCCAGCGCCAGCTTTGCCCATTGCACTGGTTCAAGCCCATGCCCGAGTAGACGTCCTTCAGCGAGAACACGAACTGGCCATTGCCTGGGCGTGGCCAACGCAGCTTGCCGCCCTCCATCGGCGCGTGGACGCCCGCGAACGGGAGCTTGGCTTTCAGGAACTCGTGTCTCATCGACCAGGTGTCGACGTCGAGCCACTGCCCGCAAGTCGGGCCACGAGGGGCGGCGATGATGTAACCCATGGGCTCCTTCTCGTACACCTCGTACTTGAACGCGTCCTCGGCCAGGATCGGCTCGCGCGTCGAGTCGTCGGCGTCGACGGCAGCTCCGAAGCCGTCGTCGTAGAAAACCAGCTCCCAAGCGCCCTCGTCGGGCAGGCGGACCACCTCGTGGGTGACGACGCGAGTCCGGGAGGTGCCCTGCTCGGGCACGCTGTCGATGAAGATCGCGCCTCTGCGCGACAGGAGCGCGCAATCCCCCGCGCCCTCGCGCCCCGCCTCCGCCGAAGGGCAGATCGCATCGAGAGGGCGTTTTGTCGACATCGATTCGAGGACCGCGTCTCTCAAACAAGCCTGCGCCCGAGTGACCGCCACGTCTGAACAGCAGTTCGGGTGAGTCGGCAAAGCCGCTGAAGCCCAAATGGCCACGGCGCGGACTGACGAGCGGCAGCGCGGTCCGCGGCAGCGGCGGCGGCGACGGCAACGGGCGATGGGAGCGGCAAGATAGCCGCTGGCAACGCGTAGACGCCTGGGGCTGCGAAGGCAGCAACCCCATCGAACTAGGACCCACGCGTCGCCATTGCGCTCTCATCCCCGTCGCCCCTGCCCCGACACACGATGAGGGATGTCAACTTCTATCGGGCCTGTCAAAAAGAAAAAGCGCACGCTGCGCGTCTGATATGTCCAATGGCAACTCGACTAGCATGGGCGCCAGAAGCGATGCGCAACTTCTCTCCTGAGGCTCCCAATCAACCACGAAGCTGCTGCTATAGAGGGGCACGTTGCGCAGAGAGAGGGAATGCCGCCGACGGGCCAGCGCGCTCAATGCATTATCTGCCTACGGTTGCGCATGACATCCCACCAAGTATGCATTCGTCCTTCTACTCCTCTGCATCATCATCGTGGGTCCTCCTCAACCTCGCATCGCCCCTTCCGAGACCTAAGACTGGCCCCCGCGGCCCCGAATCCAGCCTAGGGGAGCACAGCGCCGACGCCAAAGGACAACGACGCCAACCTCCGCGGGCTGAAGCCCTAATGCTTGCCGATGGACATCATTCACTTTTTGTCCGGCGTGGCCGCTGGCGCTGCGGCAGCCGAGGCACTGGGGCCCGACTTGAACTTGAAGGTCATCCTGGTCTCGCGCTGGTCAGCCTTGCGCTTCAACGCAATGCGAGCAGCGCTCATGGAACCGTCACTGGCGGCCTTCTCTGGCGTCGACACAGCGCCCTTCGTCGGCGCCTCAACCTTCACCCTGCCTCTCACGATGGAGTCATGCGCCTCAGCAGCCAAACTAAACCACCACGACGCCTTCTTAGCAGCCACGGGCATGTCCTGCATTATCTCGGGGTGCTCCGAAAAGAAGACTTTCAAGTAGTGAACGGACGGGCCGAGAACCAGGCGCGCAAGGTGGTTCATGTGGTTGTCCTTGGGGCTGTAGTCCCTGGAAATGGCCTTATGGAGATGGGGCGGCACCTTGACCTTCGCGTTGTTGATGTGCGCGACGCTGATCATGTAGTTGCCGCCCCATTCAGCGCGAAAGCACCCAAACATGCCGCGCTCTGGCAAAACCTGCGTCGGGGGCGGGACCTCACGACAGAAGAAGACGGAGGTAGTGGCCAATCTTGTCCGCGCGGGTGTTGAACATAAGGGTGGCCACCGTCTGCTGGGCCATCGGCGATGGCGAGCCCTGCGAGGAAGGGACCTGCAAGGCGAACGAGAGCAACTCCATCACCGGCTCATCCCCCAAGCCACGGTGGTCGCGCACGTACTCTGGACTGAGGAACGTGAGTATGTGTTTTCCCCCCGCAGTCGATCAGCCAGCCGTCGACGAACCAGTCGGGCAACGCAGCGATATTATTGTACTTCCCCGTCCATGCATCACCGGCCTTCTCCGCGTAAGCGTCCTCGTCGAAATCGGTCGAGTCGATGTAGGTCACTAGATGCGAAACGATATTCGGATTCCTTTCCATGGCGTCAATAACTTTGATTTTGTAGAGACGGTCCTGCTTCATGACATTGTCTTTCTTGATGTTCCCAGAAATGCGGATCTTATTCACTTTCTGAGCCAGCGCACTTAAAAGGTTTGCCGTGTACGCCATCGCCTGGTCCCCGGGGCCGATCTCTTTGGCGATAGAGGCGGACGCCTTCGCGCGGGACTTGGAGGCCACGGTGTCAGGCCTGAGGAGCGAAGCACTGAATCGGGCAGCCTGTGCGAAAAGAACCAAACAAACGCGCCAAAAAGGTTGAGCCAACATGGGTACAGAGGCTTACGAATGACGCTGAAAACCAAATCGTGCCCGTCACTGCTTGGTCAACTTACAAACGCTCCCCTCCCCTGCGCTCCCCTGCGCTCCCCTGCGCCCCCCTGCGCCCCCCTGCGCTCCCCTTACGCTCCCCTGCCCTCCTCTACGCTCCCATCCCCTACGCCCCCCTACGCCCCCCTCCCCGACGCCCCCCTACCCGCGGCCGGCTGGGAGGATTTCTGCGACAAGACAAAGGCACGGGGGGAGGGGGGGGAGGGGCCTGAACAAAAGAAAGAGGAGCGGGATGAGGCCGAGGATAAACGGCAGAAGGGGGGCGAGAATGACGAGAGGAGGGGGGGGGGCCGAACAAAAGAACGAGGAGGTTTTTATATTATTTGAAACCGCTAGGGCGGATTTTGGCTGAATCACATCAAATGGCGGATCTACGCTGCAGAATCTCGCGGTCGCCGGTTGCTGGGCGCCCGTCGGTCACTCGAGGCCAGGGGGGAGGCGGGGGGGCGAGCGGAGGGCAAGCGGGGGGCGGCGGGGCGTCGTGGGCAGCCGTGTTGCCCCTCGCGCGGTGTCCGCCGCGCGCGCCAAGTTGCCGCGGCCAGCCTGGCCGCGGGTTCCCCGCGCAGCGCCTGCGGCCTGCGGGGCGCGGCCGTGAATCCCCTTCGCATGTACAGGCGTAGTGGGGGTCGCTGGTCGTGCTCTCCTTGCCCCAAGTGCCGCCGCGCGCCTCGATCGCCATGGGGGCGACGGAGTCGCGCTGCAGCTGCGCGCAATGTCGAAAACTGGCGTTCGTGCTCCTCGTCGAATTCGGCGGCGGCGCCGGGCACGACGGCCGAAAATGCGAGGAACTCGCCCCGCAGCCTGGTGGCGTCGGCCTCCGTTCTGGGCGGGCCCTCCCCTTGCTCGCGGGGCTGCAGCAGTCTGGCTTCTCGAACTCGGCCCCGGTGGGACTTCGTCTGCGCGGCGAAAACCGCCTGGGCGCGCATGGCACTGTGCCGCGGCAAGGGCACACCAGCGCGTGGCCCCCGCGGGCGTCAAAGATGCCGTCGCAAGCTGGGCGGGAGGCCTCCTCGTCCGCCGGCTGCACCCAAAGGCGCCTCTGCACGGCGATCTAAATTAGCCCGCGCGGGAACTCCGTGCCGACCTCGGCGCGGGGCCAGAGGTGGGCCCTGAGGGCGAGGCTGGCGCGCTCCCAGAATTCGGCCGTACTGGCCAGGGAGGCAGCGGCGGCGGCGGCGCTCCCGTCGCCAGAGGGCGGGTGGGCCTCCTCGCTGGCGGCAGGGACGCTGATTTCCACCGGGGCGATGGCAGCGACGTGGGACTCTTTGATGGAGGCCTCGATCCTCTACAGCAAGCCCTCAATGACTGCCAGCAGCCGCTTCCGCTCCACAGGCATGGAATGAAGCTCGGCTACACGCGCGGGTGGCCCTGGGCATTGGCCTTTGGTCCTAGCCCTAACCCTAGCCCCTACCCGACCCCTCACCCCGAACCCTAACCCTAACCCCTAACCTGAAGCCTAAACCGTAGACCCTAAGCCCTACTGCCAACCCTAACTCCTACCCCAACCCATAACCCTCATCTTCACTTCCTCGGAGATGATACCGAAGAGACGCCCACTCATAATCGCTTTAGGGCTGTAGGGCTATAGGGCTATATGGGCTATAGGACTATGGGGCAGTAGAGCTACAGGGCTATATGGGTATAAGGGGTACAGGGCTATGGGGCTAGAGCGCTACACGGCTATAGGGCCATAGGTCTATTGAGCTATGGGGCTATAGGGCTATAGGGCTATAGAGCTATAGAGTTGTAGAACTATAGAACTATAGGGTTATAGGGCTATAAGGCACCCCCGGGCACCCGGGCATCCCCGGGCACGTCCGGGCACGTCCGGGCACCCCCGGGCACCCGGGCGCGCAGCGAAAACTGGCGGCAAACCGAACCTAACCATGTGAATCTGCTGGGCCCCTGCAAAGGCAAGGTCTGCCTTGGGAAAAACACCCCACATCCCCACCTAGCTGGCCGATATACAAACTCAATTTGTGTCTCGCTTACATGTCGTCGAATTGCAAAACATGTAACAGGAATGGGACGGAATGAAAATCGTTGGGGTAAACCTAAGCCTTAGCGGGTGGTCGAACCCTACCCATCAAAAGCGATACACAATCAACGTTTTTCCCGTCAGCATGGACTTTCTTGTCGATGCTGCGAAAATGACGCAAAAATGGGACGCGGCGCGCATCGTGCGCGGACGCCTGGCCAACCCTACGCGGCCCCCCCCGTCCTACCTGTCCAAAAACACAGCGACGTCGACATGTTTATTGCCAGCATGTTTTTGTTTCCTCGTCGGCGCTGCGAATCGCGTAGCGGGAATTGGATGCCCCGCGAATTCCCAAGAGGCATCCTCCTCTTCCTCTTCAGTTTCTCCCTCCCTCCCTCTCTTCCTCCCCTCCTCTTTCTCCTCCTCCACCCCCTCCCCCTCCTCCATGCGCGGCAAGAGCGAAACGATTAGCGGTGCAACACGCGTGGCTGGAATGAGACGCGGCGCACTTCACGCGCTGGACATAATGTCGCCGACGATGCAACATGAGAGGCTGGAGCGGAGCGCGGCGTACATCGCGCGCGGTCTTGTTTCTCGTCGACGTTGTTCAATACGCGGCAGGAAGAGGACGCAGCTCATGTCGCGCGCGAAACGTCTAGCCGCCCACGATATAAGATGAGCGACAGGCGTCGGACGCGACGCACTTGCTTCTTATGTTGTGAGAGGGCGGGTGGGAGTGGACGGAGCCCTCTGGCTCGTTCGAGCTGGTTAACTTGACCCTTAACCCCTACCCTGACCCTAAACCCTAACCTTACCCCGACCCTAAACCCAACCCTGTGCCCAAACCTCTAACCCTAACCCCTACCCTAACCCTAACCCCGACCTCAACCCTAACTCCTAACCCCGAATACCCTCACCCTAACCCTAACCCTAACCCTACCCTAAACCCGAACACCACCCCTTGCGCCTAACCCTAGCCCCTAACCGTAACCCTAATCCCTAACCCTAACCCTAAGAACTAACCCTAACCCCTAAACCCTAACCTAACCCCTAACCCGAACCTAATCCATAACCCTTACCCTACGCTCTAATCCAACCCCCGAAACCCTAACCCTAACCCCCAGCCCTGCCCTAACCCCTACCCTAACCCCCAGCCTTAACCCTAACCCCTACCCTAAACCCTAACCCTAACCTAACCCCATAACCCCTTGCCCCACCCATAACCCTGACATCAAACCCTAACTCCAACCCTATGCCCTGACCCTAACCCCCAAACCCTACCCTAACCCCTAACCCTAACCCTAATCTCTAAGATTGACCCTAAGCCCTAAGCTAATCCCTAAACACTACCCTAACCCTAACCTCTAACCTAACCACCACCTTAACCCCAGCCTCCAGCGCGCCGGAGCGGAGAGAGCCTCCCCACCTGCCCCCCCCCCCTTGCCTGGCCAAAGGGGAGGGCGGAGGGGAGGGGGGTCCGAAATCGCCCCCACCCCGCCCGTCTCCAGCGCCAGGGGGGGGTCCGAAATGTCCCCCCCCTTGAAGGGGGGGAGGGGAGGGGTTGAGAGCACCCCTCCCTTTCAATTACGAGGTGATCCACTGTCGCTCTTTCAACTTCTAGTGTGGGAACGTCACGCTTTCCATAGCAAAACCATCGAAACCCAAGAAACCCAGGCCACCGTGGAGGCAAACGAGGTGTTTCTGGCATGGGTCTCCACTGCAACCTTGGAAAATTGCTCATTCTCACTGTCCGGAGTGACTGCAAAACGGCGCCAAAAAACAGGACTTCGGCGGAAAGGCAAAACCCCCGGATAAACGGAATTCAACCATTCTGGTGGGTGCTCCGCCGTTCCTTCCGTCAGCTCCGCTGTGAGGGGCGACATCTCACAGCGGTGCCCGCGACAGGAGCACCGCAAAAGTAGCTACCAGCTCCGAGCAGCGGAGGCGGGGCAAGGAGTAGGAGGAGCACGGCAATGAAGCCATGAGAAACAAAACGTGCTGCTGGGACAGGGGTGAGAGCACGGTCATGTTCACCGTAGTTACGGGGCCCAGAGGTATACACCACCACCACCTCTCTCATCCCCTCCCTCTCCCAGGGAAGAAGAATTGAAGATGAGGGTGGAGGAGGGAGGAGGAATCGACGTGGTGGTGTATATTTCTGGGGGCCGCAGCAGTACACTCCACCAAAAAAGATCAGGACCACCAGGGGCGAAAGAGGCTGCCGGACGAGACGATCCCACGGAGGGGCGGTCGCGGGCTCTCCCGCCCCCTCTGTGGGACTCTTCAGCGGCCCTCCTGACTCCCATGAGAACCCTCTGGCGAAACGCCACAACGGAAGAATGACCTCCGCCATGTGGGTGGGAGGAGGCGGAGGAAGGTGAGGAGGAGGAGGAGGAGCAGGAGGAGGATGAGGAGGATGAGCAGGAGGAGGAGGAGGAGGAGCAGGAGCAGGAGGAGGACGAGGAGGAGCAGGAGGAGGAGGAGGAGCAGGAGGATGAGGAGGAGGAGGAGGAGGAGGAGCAGGAGGAGGAGGACGAGGAGGGCTCGGGCTCCACGTCCCCTCTGTGAGACCCTTCTGTGGTCTTCTTGACCTCCATGAGGACCCTCTGGCCAAGTGCCACTACAGTGGAGGCAAGTCCACAAGAAACCTCCCACAAGAAGCCCAACCCTGAGATCCGAGGACGTCTCCGCGCGGATGTCTTGGATCCGCGCTGGACCCCCTTTGGCGGCGGCTCAGGCGCCGCCCCCGGCGCGCTTCGAGCGGCACGGAGAGGGGTCCAGCGCCGGTCCAAGAAATCCGTACGTGCCTCCGACATGACAAGCGTCCCGGAAGTGTATCTTATTTCGAGGACAAGCGCCCCTTACATATTTAACGCCAGGGCCATCAAATGGTCATGGCTGTACCGTCGTGGGATAAGCAGCATCATATAGTGTCATGCAGTGTCGCGCAGCCACGTTCCAGTATGTTTTAGTGTCCTGCGTTGTCATACAATGACGCAATGTCGTACAATGGCGCTTCATATAGGGTCATGTACTGTAATATAAAGCAAGTACATGTCGTATAGTGGTAACTACGTGGCACATGGTGCCATGTAGTGGCATGTCGTGACGTACAACACCCCCCGAGAGCCGCGCTACCCATTACTCAAGGGCACAACCGGTTCCGGTACTGCGCGCCCCCGACGGCCGACGACTGCCATCCTCTCCTCCTCCTCCTCCCCCACCTCCTCCTCCGCCTCCTGCTGCTGCTGCTCACGGCTGATTTGGGTTATCCTGAAGCCGTACCTCCGCCTCCTCCTCCTCCTCCGCCTCCGCCTCCTCCTCCGCCGCGGCCTCCTCCTCCTCTTCCTCCTCCTTCTCCTCCTCCTTTTGTGCTGCTGTGTTCGCCCGCCAGGGCAAGCAAGACAAACAAACAGCAAAATAAAGGGCGGGGGGGCCTCGGCGCCGGCGGGGAGCCTCTCGAGGGAGGAGGGCGACGCCGACGCCCTCTCCAAGCGCTCGACCTCGGCCAAGGGCGGGCGCGGGCGGCGAAGGCACGTGTCCGGTTGACCAACAAAGAGGGCCCAGCTGAAAGGGGGTGGAGCAATAGATCCAGCACCTTGGACCAGGCGCACTCCTCGCAACACCCGACCATGCGGGCCGATCCTGGGCCGCCGCCGGCGATCCCACCGGGAAAAGAAGCCCGCGTTGGGGCAGCAGCTGCGCTGGCACGCCACGAGCCTCGCCGCTTCTCGTGGCCTGAATTTCGACGATCGGAGTTTTTCATCGCGTGCCCCCAGCACGTCCCAACCCCTGCTCTGGATTCTTGATCTCAGCGGTGGACAAACCTCCATTTAGTAAACCACCCTTTAATGAAAACGGCCTAAGACCGAAACCGACAGACCTGGACCCTCCAAAATGACGGCCGCGACGCCTCTCGCGAACCAAAAACGGCCAATTCGCCAATCGACGTGTCAGGGTAGGAGGTCTATCAACCTCCGATGGATGAGGGGCAAGTGTATTGCAAATGCATTGCGCCACAGAACTGTACTGCATCGTGTTGCAACTAGAATGCATTGCACGCGGGCATCCAGCAATACACTTGCGCCCTGGAACGCATTGCACACCCCGAATCTACCGCAATCGCACAATATTTCACCACCCCTTTGCGCTGGAGCCCTCCTTTTGGGTCAACCAGAAGGTGCGGTCCGCATCGGATCGGGACGCCAGACGGCAGCGGTGAGCGCGTCGGTTCGGGCCGCACCGGCGCGGAGACCCGACACATATCGGATGGGATTGGCCGCGCCACGAGTCACATCACGACGCCATGCGAGCATCTCGGGCCGCATCGGATGTGAGGGAGCAGAAGAAAAGGGAGGTTTGGGGGTGAGACGGAAATGCCCACGGGTCGAAAGAAGTAGGCAGAAAGATGAAGCACGAAGGTGTGAGGGAGCAGGAACAGGGAAAGGTTTGGGGGTGATACCGACATGACCATGGGTCGGAAGAAGTAGACAGAAGCATGAAGTAGGAAAGCGTTGGAAGCAGATCGGGTTTCCGCCCGCCTCCTGAAGAGGAGGGAAGAAGGATAACCACTCGACGCTTGAAGCAGGAAGGCGGCTGAAGCAGATTGGAACCTGGGGCTCCAAAAATACCTACGTTCAACGACCGATGGGCAAACGTGAAATACTCTGACGCCCGTGCGGGCGAGGCGACGCGAGGCTGCGCGAATTCCTTCCCTGGCTAGGGCCAAGGC